AATGACAGGAGAGGTCCGATCAGACCCCTCTGCTCTGTTAGTAGGAGCCCACTCATGGGTGCCTGTCCTGTGGAGTGGACCCTTCCGCTCCTTCCCAGCCACTCTGCTCCTGACTCACGGCCATCTCAGATGTTCTCTTCAAGTTCACTGCCATTTCCACCTCTGTAGATCCCTCTGCTCACCCGGGCACCCTGAGCTGTCACTCATCGCACTGTCCTGTGTCCATCCGCCCACCTGTCCCTCCCCAGCACGAGGCCAGGGCACCCACATCTCTGCCTCTCCCCCATGTTGCAGGAGCCAGTGCAGGGTGGGAATGAGGGGGAGAAGGATTACCCTTTCAGTACGTCCGTGTAAAGGTAAACAAGGCGCTTTAAGACATTCCTTTCACTCACAGAGGAAAATGCTCTCCAGAATGTCAGTAATTCAAATGGAACTTATTACCCCTTTAACACAGTGAGGGCAGCCCCACTCAACAACTCCCGCTGCTCTGCAGGGAAGGGAGGCTGGCCTGGCGATCCAGCTACCTGGCTGCTCCCAGTGATCCCCGTGCTCCTCTCCCTGTGCTCCCAGTGATCTCTGTGCTCCCAGTGATCCCCCTGCTCCTCTCCCTGTGCTCCCAGTGATCTCCGTGCTTCTCTCCCTGCTGCTCCCAGTGATCCCCCTGCACCTCTCCCTGTGCTCCCAGTGATCCCTATGCTCCTCTCCCTGCTGCTTCCCAGTGATCCCAGTGCTCTCCGTGCTCCTAGTGCTCCCCGTGCTCCTAGTGCTCCCCGTGCTCCCCTCCCAGTGATCCCCCTCCTCCTCTCCCTGCTGCTCCCAGTGATCCCTGGTGCTCCTTGGTTTGCAGACGCATCCCTCTAGTCTTCACATGGTGTCCTCCCTGTATGTCCATCTTCACGTGGCTATGTCCTCCTCTTACCACAGTGGTTCTCAACCTTCGGGCCCTTTAAATACAGTTCCTCATGTTGTGACCCAACCATAAAATTATTTTCGTTGCTACTTCATAACTGGTATGTTGCTACTGTTAAGCAGTGTATCGTAAACTTCTTACATTCAAGATGGCCTAGCCGACCCCTGGC